GTTTTGACCGGACTCAAATTATTTTTTCTCCCAACCATCCAAACTCAAAATTTAAGTCCCCAACTTTATTAAATTGTTTAAGTCTATTTTTTTTTTTATGGATAACTTTTCTTCATTTTATCTTTTTAAATACCTTCATAATTTAATTTTTTGAATAATTTGACCTTAAAAAATTAAAATTCCACAAATATAATTTTATTCCAAAAGAAAACACACAACATAATTCCAAATTCACCATACTTGCACTAGTTCCATAAGAATGTTGTGTGGGAGGCTCATTTATATCGTTCCACTTTGGGCAACCTTTTAAGATTTCCCAAGTATGGTACAACTTGAAAGGCCTATTCGGAGGCTTATTATCATTAAGAAAGATCGTTTTCGCATACACGTCCTGCACATGAAAAAATAAATTTAAGTTTGGAGTTGAATAAAATTACAAATATAAATTTAAAGCTTTAATGAGAATGGGTACTTACCACATCATGTAGATTTGAGTCACTTTGTGGTTTCGTATTGGCCTTAGTCAATCAAGCCTTTCAAAGAGAATATTGTTGGTTGATAGTCTTGAATCGAGAAGCAATGGCTTGGTACATTCATCGCTTGGGTCCACTAATGCAAAATGTGTCGCTTGCTTGATTGGTGTCAATAGCCTCATCTTCACTGACGGAAACCCACCCTTTGCATAATGTCTCATCTTCTTCGGGCCTCCAATTCACATATCTTTGAGATTTTGTGGATATCTTCAATAAGAATGAAATGAGATTGATGAAATTGACAAAGGAAAAATAAATTGAGAAATAGAAAAAATATTTTTGGTAGATTATTTGAGAAATGAGTGGGTATTTATAGAGTTTGGAGTGAGTTTTGGGGTTGGATCTGATTTAGAATAATTTAAAATATTATTTTGACCGTTGGATTTAAATTTCAGCCATTGGATCTTTTTTTTTAACCGTTTAAATAGCTTGGATTTAATCTAGATCGTTGATTTAGGTTACTATTGGAATATATAATTTTTTTAAAAAAGGAAAAAAAAAAAGGAAGTTTGAATTGTTGCCGTTGGATTCCAAAGGGAACATCACCATGGCGCAACACATGGCGATACAATAGCTGCCACAAAGCAGCACAGCAGCAGCGCGTGGGGTCCACATCAGCTTCAGTGGGCTCCACCGAAATTTTTTTGGGTCCAGGCAATAACTGGACTGCTATTTGGCCCCAAGTTTGGGTTTTTCCAAATTTGGGCCCTTCATTTTCTTGGGTTGGGAGAGAATTTGGGCTAAAATTTGGGATATTTTGGATTTTGCCTTTTAGGATAGAGATGGCCTTACCCTGCTTGATCGTGGTTTGGTGACCCACTTTACTCTTTACCATCAACTCCATCTAAAAGTCTGTTAGCTATGATGACGTGGTAGGGATATTTTTGTAATCTCATACACATGGATCATTATCCACCAATTAAGGGTATGACGTGGCAAGTAGAGCCCACCTCCACATAGATAAGAATATAATTAAATATTCTAATGATTAAAACTATTTTTAAAATTTTTATAAAAAAACATTAAAAAATAATTTAAAAAAATTTAGCCTCCAGCCGCCCCAATCCTCAACCTCCATCCACACACCTCTCTCTTCTTCTACAAATATCCTTGGAAGAAACAAACCCATCCCACCCCCATCTCAGCCTCCCCAGCCACTGTCCCTCCTCCTCCCTTGACCAGCCACAACAACAGCTAACCCCACCCCCTCCTCAACCCTAGCCCACCCCACCACCACCCCTTCCTCAACATCTACTGACAGACCCCAAACCTATCCGAAATAAATGAATAAATTGAATTGATACAATAATTATAATTAATAAATAATTGAAAATCCAAAACCCCCCAATTATGTACTCTACATAACCAACATTGTAGCAAAAACCCCAACGGCCACAAATTCGTTTGCGAAGAACTTATTCAAAATGGCACTGTTATTGACGGGTGGGGGAGCCTCTGAGGGAGATCCATAGACCAAAGATGGAGAAACCGCAGGAGATTCAGGAGAAGTGGACAGAGGAGAAGGTGGAGAGTTGGCGACGGGCGCCGTAGAAGGAGCAACAGACAGTGGGGTGCTCAAAAGAAAAGGTGAAGCCTTGGGTCAGGTGGGTTTGGGGTCTGTTGGGTGGATGTGGAGGATGGAGTGGTGGGGGCTGTGCTGGTTTGGGATGGGCCAAGGATGGGGATGGATTCATGAGATAGGTGTGGGGTGGCTGTTGTTGTGTCTGGTCAAGAGAGGATGAGGGACGATGGCTGGGGATGAGAGCTCGGGAGGTTGAGGTGAGGGTGGGATGGGTTTTTTTTCTTCCAAGGGTATTTGCAGGAGAGGAGAGGGCCATGTGGATGGCGGTTAGGCCATGGAGGAGAGCTGGGGCAGTTGGGGTCCAATTGTTTTTATTTATTTTAAATATGTTTTATTTTCATTTTTTTAATTAATTTTAATCATTAGAATATTTAATTATATTCTTATCTATGTGGATGTGGGCTCTACTTGCCGCATCACCCCCTTAATTGATGGATAATGATCCATATGTATGAGATTACAAAAACACCCCTGCCATGTCATCATAGTTAACAGACTTTTAGACGGAGTTGACGGCAAGTGGTAAAGTGGGTCACCAAACCACAGTCAAGCAAAGTAAGTCGGCGACTTTAGGTTTGAGGGGCAATATGAGATTTGATAATTGTTTCAGGGGCAATAATGTAAATAAGCCTTTAATGTATCGTTAATCTAATCCATTTATGTTAATCTTAGAGCAAGTCCAGCAGTGGGTTTTGGATTGAGGCTAGGGGGGGTTTGGGAGAAAAAGGGCCTTCAGCAGCAAGGGTTAGCCCAAGTTGCTTGTGGGGGCCATGAAGTCGGGTTGGCCCGAGAGCAGGTCCAGCCCCAGATCCAAAACTCGGGCACGCGCCAACGGTAAAAAAAGCTACCGTTATCGATGACGTCAGCCCTGTGCGGGCCCAACGGCTCTGGGATAGGTGACGTCGTCTAGGCGCTCTGATCTCCTTTCTCTCTCCAATCTAACGGCAGCCAATATTTTTGCTATAAAAATATGAAAAAAAATCCGAATTTTTTTTAAAAAAATACACAAAAATACAGAAATTTTTTTCTATAAATACCTACCACTACTCTTCACTTTCAACACCAAATCCTCATACATTTTCTTCTACTTCTACTATTATTCACTTTTTACTCAACATTTTATTCACTTTCAAGGTTTATTTTTCTTTATCATCTTTATGGCTTCTTCTATTGACGGTGTTGGGGCATGGAGCACCATGGAAGATGTTTTGTTGTGTGAGTGTTGGGTTCAAATTTCTCATTGTCCCGTCACGAGCAATGAGATAAAATTCTTTCAAATGTGGAAAAAATTCATTCCGAATTTTGTGAAAGATCGGGTTCGACCCGTACGGAAATGGCATTGTCTAGTAGGTGGAAAATTCTCAATAAAGAGTTGGGGAAATGGAGAAATGCTTTGGCAAAAGCGATGGACAAGCGTAGAAGCGGGGAAAATCTTACCGATGAGGTAAATTATTTGTAATTTTTGTTTTATTAATTTTAATGTGCTCATATTTTTTTTATAAATGTTTGTTGCATTGTCAATATTTTGTTAATATTTCATTAATACCCAATATGTTGTTAATGTTTCTTGCATTGCCAATGTTTTTTTTAATGTTTCTTGTATTTCCAATATTTTTTTATAAATAGATTGTGCAAGCACAAATGTGGTTTGGTGTTACTGGGCAAGGAAAAAAATCTTTTATCCATCATAAATGCTGGGAGGTAGTCAAAAATTGCAACCGTTTCATAATTATTCCCACGGGTCCGACCGTTGTGTTGAACGAGACGCCACTCCATAATTCAACGGCATTGGATTAGCCTCTCGATTCCCCGATGAGTGAAGACTCACCCATCCAAAAGGAGCCGAGGCCTATTGGGAGAAAGGCGGCGAAGGCAAAGAGAGTGAGTAATTCTACTAGTAATTCATCTAAATTTTTGGAGGAAATTGCAAGGCAAAGCGCCATGAGACTTGAAATAGAGAGGAAAACCCAAGAAGATGACAGGATATTTCAAATGGAATGTGTAAAAGAAAGGGAGTATGCACGCAAGCAAAACATTGAGAAGCAGGATCGGGAAACCATGGCCATGGATACAAGCCATATGTCCCCTGAAACAAAACAATTTTGGAAGCTAGAACGAAGGGATGTTATGAAACGAAGACTTTTTCGTGATGATGGACCTAGCAACACGGATTGGTGAAATGATCAAAACAATTAAGTTAGTTTGCTTACCTTTTATTTTCATTGTATTTTAATGTTTTATTTTGAAAATTAGTTGTAATTCATGTATTTTATTTTCATTGTATTTTAATGTTTTATTTTGAAAATTAGTTGTAATTCATGCTTTCAATAAAATACCTTTTTATTAAAAACATTCCATACATAAAAAAACAAACCACATCCAAAGCATTAAAAACAAACAAACCACAACCAAAGCCTTAAACTAAAAAAACATAACAAAAAATAAAACATAAACATAATAAATAAAACAAACTTGTTCACTTCACTTCATTAACCGTCATTGCCTTTCACCGCCCATAAATGCTCCATCAAGTCAACTTGACATCGTTCATGAATATAAGACGATTACATCTCCGTATATCGATCAATCATACGGGTCATTACACCACCGTACCTAACCAACGGTTCATGTTGCACTGGTTCTCCATTTGGCCCCATGGGTTTTTCATAAATTCGTGTCAAGGCCGTGTTTATTGGATCCGGTTCATACACGTCTTCAGATGAATAATCATACTCATCCTCCACAATCATGTTATGGAGGATGATGCATGTCATCATTATGCTCCTCAGCACCTCCTCATTAAACATATGTGCCACACCCCTAATAATAGCCCATCGGGCTTGGAGGATACCAAAGCACCTCTGCACATCTTTTCTGTACCCCTCTTAATATGTAGCAAAAAAATTTTGCTTCTGGGATCGGGGATGCGGAATTGACTTGACAAATGTGGTCCATCTCGGGTAAATGCCATCAGCTAGATAATACCCATTTTGGTAGACGGTATTGTTGATTTGATAGGTGATATTTGGGGCTTTACCTCTCAAAATATCATTGAACACCGGGGATTGACCCAGGACGTTCAAGTCATTTTGAGATCCGGCAACTCCGAAGAAAGCATGCCAAACCCACGTATCAAAACCTGCAACGGCTTCAAGGATGATGCTTTTTTGGCCTTTCCGATTCCCATAATCGCCTTGCCAAGTGGTCAGGCAATTCTTCCACTGCCAGTGCATGCAGTCGATGGTACCAATCATTCCTGGAAATCCTCTCTCTTCCGCTTTTTGTAGAAGCCGTTGCAGGTCCCTGGGCGCAGGTTTGCGCAGGTAGTCCCTGGTGTACAGAGTTTCGACTGCATCACAAAATCTCACGAAGGTCTCTAAAATAGTGGACTTCCCCATCTGGGCAATCTCATCCACTTGATCAGCAGATGAGCCATACGCCAACATTCGGATAACAGCTGTGAACTTCTGCTCGGGAAGCAGTCCCAAATTTCCAGCAACATTTCTCTTTTGAACAAAATATTCATCATAATTGCAAATATCATGCATGACTTTATTGAACAAATGAGGTTGCATTCTATATCTCCTTCGAAAATCAACATCAGAGTACAGAGAAGTTGGCATAAAATAATCTTCCATAAGATTCTTACCCCGAGAATGTCTATGTCTGTCCACATTCGGTTTACGACCTTCTCGTGAACCACCGCGACTCTGGTTTTCTTCATCATGCATAGCCACTGCTGTGACAATTTGCATATCCAGTTCTGCCTGCGCCCTTTTGCCTGCAGCTCGTCTACGCCTTCTTTCTCTAAATTCTTGGATTTGCCTCTCCAAGACCTTGTTCATGTCTGCCATTGGAGTATGAATTCTAAAATATGAGAAATGAAAATGAAGAGAAGATATAGTGTGAGAGGTATGAGCTGAGGCTCTGGTTTTATAGAAAATTTTTGGCTGATAAGGATGACACGTGGCGCAATTTTAGAGGGTGAAAATCTTATTTGAAATTTGAAATTTATATGAAATTTGAAATTCATATGAAATTTCATTGAAATTTGAATTTTGAAATGTATCTGAAATTTGAAATTTGAAACTGAAAATCTTATTCGAAAATTTTATCTGATTATGATATATGAATAGTATTGACACATAGGAACCCAAAAATCTTATTCGAAAATATTGTCCAAATTAATTATTTAAGTAAACAAATTTGTGAAAAAAACAAAAAAAAGAATAGTGTTTGACCTAGACTAGGGCAACTGCTGGAAACGTAAATTGCTTTTTGCAAGGGCAGCCACTATTCACGTGAATAGTGGCTGCCCCAGCTCCCC